CACCAAATCAGTGAGGATGCAAACTGAATATATGGGCGCCCGCATGACCACTATTATTCTGCATGGTTTTCCAATGGATGCAGAGGGGGAACCTTGTGGATGGGCAAGTCGAGGAAGTCTCGTCACTGAAAAGTTAAGCGGGCATTGCAACCCGAGATATAATCCTACAGATGACAATGTCTCGACACCTTGACTTGACGTAGCCGGACGATCCTCATCGTTGTGGAGGGTCATCGACCCCACTTCTGTTCTTGTGGTTCCACGGGCTACCTGTCAGAGATGTGCCCCGCCAAGAACCCCATTACTCCAGCCAGCAACATCTAAGGAAGCATTGGGACCAGAAATGACCGGTCACAGTTCCACTGGACTTAATGGATGGGCGGAAGTACTGGGGAGGGGACAAAAGTCTGTAACCTCTCTCACTCAGCAACAGCAACAAATGAATCTGCAACGACAGAAGAATCAACAACATCCACAACAACAAAGACAAGAGGAGCTGCAAAATCAGCGGCAACAGCATCAGCAAACGAAGCAACATAAAAAGAAACAGTAACAGGAGCAACAACAACTAGGGCAACACGCACAGCAAAACAACAAGAGCAACAAGAAGAACAACTTCATCAGGCAAGTGGAAGAATAAATTATGCAGTTGGGCCTATATATGAGGTGGAGGGCGTGCCTCCACTTCGGTCCCCCGGAAAAGGAGGAAGAAAAGGAAGAGGAAGAATGAAGTTTCAAAAAAAAATAAAGCTGGCTGGACGAAGTAGAGCGAGGGGGACCATGGACAAATCCAAAACCCAAATCGCCCCCGATTCTCCCCCCAAAACCAAAGTCCCGGTAATAAAATGTACAGCAAGGAGCCTCCCCAATTCCGCCCCCAACCAAAGATTCGGCATCTCTCTCCCCCATACCAACTTCTAAATCACCCCCATCAGAAAAGCACGCCTTCCCCAAGGTGGTGTCCGTCTGTCAAATAGACATGGAGACTCTCGTGAGGGACCTTTCCTCGTAGATTAAGGCCCTATTAAGGCCGCTATTGAAGTGTACCTCTGTCGACTTGCCCCAGGAACGTCTCTCACGCTCCTAGGGTAATAACTTTAATCAGAAATGCGGATGGAAAATTAAGGTCGTTGAATTATTCAGACGCTGGTTAAAAATATTTCACTAAAATAAAAATGGCGCTAGTGACTTCAGAGGACTTAAAGAAACTAGAGAAATTTAGTACAAGAACAGTCCCTATATTACTCATCCCTCATAATACAGGGCCGTCAAATTAACATTCCTTACAGACGTCGTCGGGATTGTCCTAGACAGGCGAATTACGTCTCTGACAGTGTGGGACAATCCGTCGGGGTCTTTTCATCCGCGGATTTGCGTCCAGTCTGCATCCAAGGGAGTTCCTCTTGAAAAATGTCTATCAAGCTAGCCATTTGGAATGCAAGAGGCTTCATGGATCGGAGTAAAGCGGTTCGCCTGCTTCGTGATCTCTTGTCTTTTGGCGTAGATGTGTCCGTGATCCAGGAGACACAATTTGTTTGCGAAGACGATATCTTTATTTTCTAAACGTACCCTCGGTGTGAGTCGAGACTTTGTCCACGAGGATGCGAGGAGGCGGCTAATCGTGGCTGAGATTGCCGTGAAAAGTATTTCATTTCGGATCACTGCTGTTTATGCGCCCATCGACTGGACGGGCGTGCATCCGTTTCCGTCAGATGGGACCGTTCCTGGTAGATTTGTCGCGCTTAGTCTTAATGGGGGATTAGAATATCGTCCTGGACCCGAAATTAGACAGGAGTGGGGAGTTAACGGGAGGTCGGGGATCGTAACTTGGTCGATCTTATCAACGAGTTTTGTCTTGTCGATATATATACGGGGTCCATCACCCAAAGTTTGAGATGAGAACGTGGGCTCTTAAGTGGATACCTACCCGGGTAGCCAGCTACCTGGATAAAATATTAGTGAGAAGGGTTGGTCTAAATTTACTAGATTGTCCTGCGTTCCACCGATTAGGCTATTCCGACCATAGAACTGCCCGTGAGCGGATGACTTTAGGTCCTAGGCCTGGACACTGGAAGTTCAACCTGTCCTTAATGGACTGGAGAAAATTCCGAGAACAGCCAACTAGATTAGTGCATCGGGAACTAGTGGGGGTGATTACTGGGAATAAGTGGTGGTAGAAGCTTAAGGATCGTATTCAGTCTTTCACCACTGAATATAGCCAACGTCTCCCCCGAGATATAGGCCCAAAAGGTGAAGACTCTCAAGGATAGTCTTTCCCAGGCGGACACTAGGGAGATTTCCTACAGATAGGTTTAGCTAGGCAGGATCTAGAACCAGCACTGCCCGAGTCAGGTAGTCATAGATTAAACAGGACGTCTCACGAAGCCGTTAACATTGGCGCATAATTGTGCAAGGAAGGGATCTATCGAGGTCCCCATCGTTACATTGGGGAGGTAGATACCTCGGAGAAGCGTACATTGAGGTCATCCAAAGACTTGTGCGAGGCGTTCCGACGGTTTACCAAGGAGCTAGGTCTCGGTGTCGAAGAGTTTCGCAGCTATTTGGATGACCTTTCCCGGCTTTCGCCGCCTGAAGTGGTTAGCTTCGTGGGGTAAGATCAAAGAGAGTCGGCAATGGTAAGTCTCCAAGATTTTATGGTTGGAGTCCCTCTTTCGCCGACTAAGGGACAGGCCGTCCAGTTCGGTTTTACGTAGAATCGCTGTCCCTGGTGGTGCTTGGTGCTTGTTTTTCCGTAAGCCGATGACATATCCATCATTGTCTCGCCGCATCGACACTGAGGTGGTAGAGAAAGCGTTTGAACCGTAATAGAAGATCACGGAAGCCACGATTAACCTCCACAAGTCACCCGGCTTGTGGTTAGGTGCCTGGAAGAGTGTTGGACCTCCGCGACCCTTTAAATCAACTGACGGTCGTTCTTTGAGTGTGGCTCGGGCCTGGGCTCCAGTTGAAGGAGAATTGGTCGGAAGTACAAGAAACAGGTTATCGGCTGGCGCTTTACTTCCATTCGACATCATCTTTTAGAAATCAAAAGCCTTGACCTGCCCACGGCAGTTAATCAAGCCAGAGATCTCTACCTTGCATAGAAAAAACTTTGAATGCTTTTGAAAATTGCACTTACCAACTAAGGGAGACATAACATAAAAAAAACAAAGTTTCATTTGTGTGTGTGATGCCTGTGACTTAACAAACATTTGTTTGTTTGTTTTTTTTTTTTTTCTGGTGGAACACGTCACAGTCTTAAAGTGCGCCTGGCCAGAGAGACAACGTGTCACAAATACAGAAATGGATAGGGTTTCAAAAGTATGTCAGTTGCTACTTCAGCCACCACAATTACGCAATCTTAAACATTAGCAATCACTACGCTATCTAGTTTATTAAAACAGGCTACGGTGTATGTATTGATTGACCAAAATTGACGTTACACCTCTAATGGACAATGGTAAGTCTGGATCCTTTATTTGGCTCGACTACGCGAAACCAGATAAAAATAAAACCTGCAGTAGGGAATGGCTTTGTCATCATTTAACGCTTCAACAAAAGAGCAGTGTACAGTCAATTTAAATTTATTAGGTGAGTGGTTTTTTGAAAGCTACACGTTGTGCTCCTCACGATCTTTGTAGTGATATAATTCTCGGGCAAGACATTCCATTGCATCTTTTGCATTTAACGGTTGAAAGAAAAGCCGATCTATTTTGAGTTCAACTGCTTGTACCCTACTATCGCAGATGGTAGGTATACCTCCATTATTTTCGAATGTCGATCCTAATAGAAACCTATTTCTATGAAGCCTATGCGATTTGGAACTGCCTATAAAAACTGTTAAAACTGAAGCTAATAAAATGCTAAGAGATGGAATAATTGAAGAAAGTATGTTTCCTTGGTGAGCTCAAATTTTAATTTTGATAAGAAATGGACTAATTGAGAAAAGCATGTCTCCTCGGCGCGCTCAAATTTTAATTTTGATAACGAACGGCATAAAAAGAGATCAGTTGTAGATTATAGTAGAACTATTTATAGATTTCACTCGACTCGACTCTTACCCTCTACAAGGAATGAACGATTTGGCTTCGGAAATCTCTAAATATACAATTTTATTCTTTGGATTTAAAGAGCGCATATCACCAAGTAAACATTCGTGGGGAAGAAAAACCTACACCGCGTTTGAAGCTAATGGCTAATTATACCAGTGAAAGATTGGATTGTGGAGAATAATTCATCACCCACAAGGAGACACCAACGGACTCTATCAAGGTAGGAGAGTAAGGTTTGCTTAGTTCTCGCCCAAATATGACAATAGTACTCAATTTTTGGCCTACTCTGGCTCTTGTAGGTACACCCAGGAGCGATACAGAGAGACGACCGTTTTATCAGTAACTTTGAACTGGATCGAATGTTAGTTCCACTTGTGATCAGGTGCGAATTTAAAGCCCAATATTTTTCAAGACACGGTGCATCCTCGAGAGTACATCCGTGCACCTGGTAGTATTTTGGGGTGTGATCGGCGATGATAAAATGTAATTAACATGGTTTTCGTGACATTGAATGTAACCAACTAGGTTTTATCCGACTGTGCAAGGTCGAAAGAGTGATCAATCGCCAATATCTGACCATTAAGAATTTTAGAGGTGTCCCCATATATAGTCGTATCATCGGCATAGATATTTATAAATGATCTGAATATATTCGTAGGCAGATCATTTATGTAAATCAAAAAGAGTTTTGGTGCGAGGTGTGACTCCTGGGGGACGCCTGCGTTCACCGCTAGGTCTTCGGAGGACTGGCCACTAATTGCTACCTTCGGCGACCTATCTCCTAGGAAGGATTTATGGCGAGCTCGTTTGGTTTGGATTATTTTGTTTTTCGGCATATCAACCTCAATGGGTTATTTAATGTCGACAACATTTTTAGGATAGATTCGTATGAACAGAATATGTATTCTTTGGTTTAGATTGGTTTGGTTTATTTTGTTTGACGGCATATCAACATCAATGGCTTATTTAATGCCGATAACATGTTTAGGATAGATTCGTATGATTAGAATATGTATTCTTTGGTTTAGATTGTTTTGGTTTATTTTCTTTTACAGCATATCAACCTCAATGGGTTATTTAATGCCGACATCATTTTTAGGATAGATTCGTATGATTATAATATGTATTCTTTGGTTTAGATTGGTTTGGTTTCTTTTGTTTAACGGCATATCAACCTCAATGGGTTATTTAATGCCGACAACATTTTTAGGATAGATT